AGTGACCCACACCTCTGAGTCTGCCCAGACAAACAAGGATGGACACTGCAGCCTAATCCAACCCATTCTGCATACAAGTTTAACGTGCCTGCTCAGGACAGTAGTCTGTTCTGAATTACTTGTCTAGAGAAAGAAAACACCCACTCCCATCCTGATTCAAGCATGGACCAAAGGTCTGCACAGTGTTGCAAGCAGTGCTCCCTGGAGAATATAAACTGGTGCACAGAAAGTAATTTTCTTCTTCCATAATTTATTTTGCCAAAGAGAACTGTGGAAAAACACACTATGTTAGTGACCTTGAGCACATCTTTGAATTTAAAATAACTGACTTTGACATTGCCATAAAGGGGGCAGAGCAGTAGAAAATTCAGCCTGCATTTAATACTGACCAAGCCAGGTAAATCATCATATGGTCCTTTCTGAAAATATATACATCCTCTAAGCTCCATTTGGTTTCTTTGCGTTAAAATGAAATTAATAGCAAGCTCTAAAATACTAGAATAAATTGGATTTTATAATTGCAGAGTAAGACAGACATATTAAAGGAGTTGCCTGCGAGGAAACTAGCAGACGTCTAACCTGCTAAAATTTATGTGGAAAAAAATTACTATTTGTTCTGGATTTAATGTGAAAACTGAAATTCTATTAGGAACTATAGCAGAAGCATAGGGAATGGGTAAAATTGTAATAGTCTGAGCACAGGCAGGACTGTAATTTGATGGAGACTTTAATTAAGGTTGCACATTCACTCCAAAGTGAATGCAGCTGCAGCTACAGCTTCAGTTTCAGCTTTCATCCTGAGCTGACACCACCACAAAACAGGGAGGGCCCAGCACGGGAGGCTCAAATGATTATACATGTTAGGCCTGAGTTCCTGTCAGGACAGAACCACTGCAGTGCTGTGTCTGACCCTCAAAGCCTTTGGAAGTGACTGGGTACACAAGCCATGATGATGCTAAGTGATAAGAAACCAGCTGGGTGGGAGGAAGAAGGACTCAAACACAGAAAGAGAAATATATAGAAACAAATCTCCACTGAACTTCAAGAATATCGAAAATTGTGGCGAGAGGCTGAGATTGTTACCCATTGTCCCAGCCAGCAAGAGCACTATCATCCCCAAAACAGCACTAAAAGCTGTTGTGGAACAGCAAGTGTGGCTGGAAACAGTGCATTAAAAACATGAGCAGATCAACAGCAGCAGAAGGGAACAAACAGCCTCAGCCAAATCACTGCCACAGCACCCTGCTGTCCAGATGAAGTCCGTGTTAGCTCCTGACATGCCATTTGGGGATGGGGGAAAGGATGCTGAGATATCAGAAAGGAAACACGCACACCATCACTGCCTGATTAGTGCGTTTTTAAAAAATCACTATATTATTTTTTCATGTCATGAATACTGTGATCTTGAGCCCATAAGAGGTGAGCACCCTTCACTCACAGGATGAACTCAGCAAGAGGTGAAGAACTCCTGGGTGTCCTAAGGGTCCATCAGACTCGAGGTGGCCATGGAGGTCTTATCTCCTGCTCCCTGCTTTGGATCAGTGACTGTCACTCTCCCCACTCAACAACACTACTTGTTGGAAGAGCACAAATTCAGTTGCTGCCATTATACACGAAAAATTGCTCCTCTTTGCACTGCACAATTTTTTTATGTCCATTTCCCCATCCTCCCTTGGGTTGGAAAATAAAACTGCAGTGTGGCAGTTCATTTCCATGAGTCCCAACATCCTTCCTCATTTTCCTCATGTCCTCCTGTGATTTTCAGTAGGTAAATCTCTGTGTGTAGGCATTGTTCTGTTAAGAGGTACAACTAAGTCCCCTTTTGCTGAGTTAGCAAGTAAGTGTTTCAGAGAGCCCTGAGTTAGCAATTTCCAGTAATGTCTGTAAACTTTGAAGGCTAAGATATCTTATTCTTACAGGCAGAGTTAGATTTTCATTTTCAATAATGCTTCCATAAAAATCGTATGTGTCCCCTGTGGGTATGAAGCAAAGAACAAAAAATGTGCCACAGTGGGAATATTTTGAATAGAGGTTGGGTGGGTTGTGTTTTTTTTCAAATTGGATAGCAAAAACATTGAAACTAGTACTTTCTAAGGTGTCTCCTATTTTGTACAGCAGCAGCTAATATATGGTTTCATTTTAATGCTGGATACTTGGGTATTTTCTACCATCAGCACAATTTGGAAATGTGATTTGCATTCACTTTCTGACGTATTTGTTGTAACACTTATTGACTTCCTGCACAGCACAGTTTTTTTGTTAAGTCAAAAGAATAAACCTCCATAAAAATCCTACATGCTGCTCAGATCTTTGTCAAGGCAGGTGTGCAAGTCACAGAGTGCGTGGGAAACATGGGCATGAGAAGTATGTGGAAAACATGTAGCAATGCCAAAACAAACAGCCAGCACAAGGGACTGTTTTCTCATTCCACTGTAGGCAAGAAAGAGCAAAAATGCCATCGGGCATCTCCCGCCACTAGGGTTGGATATCAGCCAGGGAGTCAGGACATGTTCAAGGGAGAAAATGCCTGGGCCCTTTGGAGCCATCCCACATTATATCCCTGCCCTCAAAGGACAAGCTACATGTTTTTTCCCATGGAGGGAAAGGCATGGCTGTGCAGCTCATGGGATGGAGTCCCTGAGCAGAGCTGGGTATGGCACAGCACAGCCACCAAGAGCCTGTTGGTATGGGAGGTTTGACAGAGCAAACATCAACCTGTCAAGTGGCAGGTGAAGGAGAAGCATTTGGGACCTCCCTGCCTGAGCTCATGTCATACCTGTTTTGATCCACAGTGGGCTTGTAGGAGAGACAGGCAAGGATGCTGGTAGTGTAGGAAAGCTGAAAATTAGCATATTGTCTCCAGTTAAAGGATTTTTATCAGCTTCCCAAAGTGCCACATGCTGTGTCTTCTTTTTGAAGACCGTAGTCAAGTTAACCAATGCTTTACATTTTTCTATTATAATTCTGATTACAAATTTCCCCTTTTGAAATTGCACATTTCGATTTTTCCACAAGGCACATTCAGGATTTGACTATTGATGTGTTTGTTTGTATATCTAAATATTGACATAAATGTATGCACAAATGAACACTAGGAAAGCATCTTTCATTGCATTATATGCCCAGGCTGACTAAGATTCAAATCAGTGTCATTTCGAAAAATGAAAACTTGCTATTCTATACACGCTTTCAATTTTTTTAAATTAAGCTGTATTTTCTTCATGACAGTAGAAAAAAAAAAAAAGGAGGTTCAGACCTAATGAGAAACTTTCCTTAAATTTGTAGGTAAGAAATACAGGCTTAACTGATTTTCAGCATTTTGAATTACATTCTGCTTAAGCTGAGATCTCATGAACAAAGCCTTTACCTTATCCCATTTGAAATGGACGAAATATTAAACCTCAAGTAAGAGGGATCATCTTGAAAGACCCACGTTGCCCACAGTAAATGGGTAAAGGAAGTGTTGTGGATCAGTGACTTACTGGCCAAATGGTGTAACATTTAAAGGAGCTGCTTCCCCTTTAAGATTCTGTATGTCTCTTCAGGAAACCTCTTCAGCCTGGACAGCACTTTGGAGTCAACCAGCTCCTGCCTTTACTGCCAAATTCACTTTTATTTAATATTTTAAAACCTCACTAGATTTGGGAACTTTTTACAGGCTGATTCTGGTGGGACTCATTCCTACCAGTACACACCAGTTCTCCCCTGTTACTACTCATTTTAATGCCAAGAAGCAGTTTCTTCAGAAATCGTTCCAGCTCTTACTTGGAAGTAACATGATAAAATATTGTTGTTGTGCTGCTTTTTGCCCAAAAAAATCCAGATCTGCGCTAACAAACCAATTAAATTTATTCTGCTACAAGTGCTCTGGGGAAAAAAACAAAACCAAAAACAACACCAAAAACAAACAAAACAAAACAAACAAAAAAAAACCAACCCACAACTGAATTTGGGGACAAAAGGAACATAGATTGACCCCAGGCTGTTATCATTTAAAACTGGACAATGCTTTCAAGCACAGGGTGTGATTTTTGGGGTTGTTCTGTGCAGGGCCAGGAGTTTGTGTAAGGGACTTGTGCTCTCAGCTCCTAGCACAGTCACGACTTCATTTTGGTTCACTACAACATAGGGAAAATACGATCCCCAAGCTGAGGGAGAACTGTAATTTGCATTCTTGTTTTTTCCCTTTTGCCTATGGAAGTATGTGCCAATTATATGCTGAACAGCACTGAATGAAATTGCCACAAAACTGTCATTTGTTATAAATAGCTTATTTAATTGAGATTTTCTTGGCATTTTTGCAGAAGTGTGAATAAAGCTGCAGCATTTTTGAGCACATGGGCAGTGCAGGAAGACTATTTGAGCATACAGGACACAAAACAGTTGGCAAGGAACTTTTTTGGTTGATTCCTCAGCTTCGGATTCACTCCTGGAGTTTCCCTTGCATTGCCTTTTCCAAGACAGTGCTGCACAGTTGTGTTTGGAGAGTGGCTGCCCTCCACTCTCCTCACCTGCACAACCAATGCCCCTTACCCAGCCAGTACCTTTTTGTGACCCCAAGTCCTCCAGAGACTGAGTCAGCCCATCATAGAGCACCATGGAAATGCTGAAGCATCGTCAGGCTCTTACCTCCCACCATCATCTCTGCAGGATGCAGCACAGTCCAAAGGAACGAAGAACCCAGCCCAGCATCTCATATTTAGAAGATGTTAGGGACTGGTTTTCAACATTACCATCTCTCTCCAGTACATTGATATCTCTCCTGACATCTACATCTACAGTAGCAGTACTACACCTGTTCAAGGGTGCTTCAAACACCCATCACCCTCACAGGTGTTGTAATTTTCTGCTGTACTTCACTTGTATGCAGCCAGCCCCTGTTCGAGTTTTGATGTGGAATCACTGTGGCAACTTGTATGAAACACCATTTGTCCATTCAAACAGTGGATTTAAAAACTAATGATGTCTCTCAAGACACAGGAAATCACACTACATGAATATTTATCTTTATTGCCCTTACTGCGTTGGAAAAGCAACCTTATTGTTAAGCCATTATCTTCCATATGGGAAAAATAAAGTGCTGTCTTGAAGCTTATATACAAAATCTATGTTTCTTCATAGAAAGCTGTATGTTCCACTTGGATTTTTATTGAATAATAAGGCATGCTGAGAAAAACAAAAGACTGTTTATGTATGATAGCAGGTAACAGAATGGCAGTAGAAAACAAATCAAAAGCCCTGAAAACTGTACATTTTATTACTTCTAAGAAACATGTTGGATTATAGGATATGGCCCTACAGATTTCTAGGTCCAGCTCCGCTCCTACATCTGCCTTGTGGCCTGAAGAAAGTAATTTCTCTCTCTGCATGTGTCTTTTGTCTTTTACATTTTGTCTATCATAAGTACTTACATTGTAATTCACCTGTGGTTAATAGATGTGGTTTTAGTAAAGCAGCAGCAAAGCAATAGCTATGACTGCATCAGAAAAATTGTATTTCTTGTGGGTTAGGAATAAGAATTCTAGCCTTTCCCTTCAAAAATCCAGAAGAAAGTGAAGAACATGGGTACAAAGAGTTGCAACTTTCTATGCCATTGCAGCACATAGTGGAGAATTATATTAAAAATATACAAAAATAATAAAACTAATTTCTTTTAAATGGATTCTTTTAAATGGTTCCATATTTTATAAAAAGTATTTAACAAAAAATGTATACACTGTAGAAGAATCCCAAATGCTGGTGGTAACAATATAACAAATAAACCATAAAATATAGTCATTTTGATATATTTCATATATTTTTCTTGTATATTTCATACATTATCATTCATTCATTCTAAAAGTAGGGTGGCACAATCGTACTTATGTCTTTACAAAACCATCTAGGTTTATTCCATGAATAAAACGTCTGAAGACTAGCCTGAACATCCCCTTTAATGACCATAAATCATTCAGAAATTATGCACAGATCACTATGACTTCAGTAATTTTAAGGGAGGGTGGGGGGCTTCTTTTTCTCTTCTGTGAAAACACATCATAAATAGAATACACTGAGTTACTGAGCATTCAGATGGGTTTAGGCAGACGCTGACGCACCTTGCCAGACTCCAACGCATCTTGCTTTATATATTTCTGTTAGGCTCTGATCTGGAAAACGGATGCATGGGGTTACTTTAGGATGTCTCAGATTGCACCCTGTATGCAGGCTGTACTTCACACCTGGGAGGCACTGTTGGCTGCCTGCACTGGAGCTCTGGGAAGCAGACGTTCACCGCGGCATCACCGCAGGGTGCTCGTCAGGTAATGGGGATGGGACATGCAGCGCACGGGACTGCAGAGAACGAGCCAAGAAACCTGCCTTGTTCTAGAGGGATTTGTGCTTTAACATAGTTTATTTACTGTTTAACTACAAGGTGCAAATAGGCCACTAACGGGAAATTGTAGTATTAGAACCAGTTCTGGTCAAACATTTAAATAATTAACTAAAGCAATTTCTCTGACAACAGGACACCTCTTCCATCAGAAAGATGAACAGCTTATAGGGCCGTGGTATTTATCTATAGAAAATAGGAGTTCATAAGGCAATTGTATTTTAAAGACATGCAGGTGAAACTAATAAGTGAAAATGTGTATTTATACTTTGTTTAGGAGAAAGAAGACTTCAGGAATAAGATGTTTTAGGGTCAACTCTTTATCCTGTGCAAAAAGGGCCTGTAATGTAAGTGGGCTACAGAAATGGTACCATTTTCTTACTGAGAGTGTTTTGTTTTTCAAACCCTTCTTATTAGTCTTCAAACTTCAGGAAATAACATTAATGAATAAAGAGCACTCTCCAGATGTGCAGCCTGTGGCCATCATCCTTGCTTTCTGAGTCTTGGGAAGTTTCTTCAGGACCCCCCGCCTCATGGTATTGCTGTAAACCAAACTTCCACGCTGGCCAGTACAAATACATTGGCTCACCCAGAAGGTTTTTGGAGTGGCTCCAACAGCAGCCAGACTGCTGAGGTTCTGATACGTCACAGGGGACACCCACACCCTGGCAAAGGCAGAAGAATGAGCACTCTCACCATCAGCATGTAACCATGGTTTAACCCTGGCCAGCAGCTGGGCACAAGACAGCCTGTTGACCACTCCCCCATCGGGGAATGGCAAGGAGACTCTGGAGGGGGAAAGGGAGAAAACTCCTGGATTGAGATGGAGGCAGTTTAATAATTAAACAGGAAAATTTTAGGTTAAAAACAAACAAACAAAACAACAACCAAGAAACAGAGAGCAAAGTAAAGCCCAAGAAAAACAAGTGATGCAAAGGAAAGCAGTTGCTCATCACTAACTGACTGTAACGTTATTTGTGTCTCTTCAGAAGGCATAAACCTTTGACAGCTTTTTTAAATACTTAATTTTAACTTCCTAATAACTCATCAGGAAGAGTGAGGAGGTTAATGTATGCTCAAGAGATGTCAGTTCAGGCTCTCACTGATCACTAACACACATAACCAACACAGAAAACTTTCATTGACTTGAAAGTTCATTTTGTAATAGTCCTCCAACAACTTTCTTAGCAAATTCAGACCACCTATCTAAGAGCTGGTAAGAAAGGGAAAATAACTTGTTAAGTGGCTATTTAAGAAATACGTTTAGATAGATTGTTGAAAATTGACTGAATAAATCAAAAAGATGCTCTGAGAAATCTGACCACATTAAAAAAAAGCATTTGCATATACTCCACAGTTTTATTAAAATGGATTGTGTATTCAAGATCTGTATATCTCATCAAGATTAGCAATGCAAAGAGAAGAGCTCCTTTTGAATTACTCCTGAACGAGATGCTTTTCTTCTTTCATCACTCACTGTGGCACATTCTGTTCCTCTCTGCAGGCAGATAGCTAAAGAGAAAAAAGAACAGAATAAATCAGAACAAATCAGGAGGAGTACTTTCCTCTTCTTATCACTTGGCCATACACTGTCCTCTCTCCTTTGACATTAGTTTCATCACAGACACTTCCCTACTCCCGCATTAGAGTTATTTTCCTTCCTCTCTCTCTCCTGGAAACCTCTGCTACTTCTGGTTGCTGCCAGTGTCACTCGTGGAGTGAGGCTTAACCTCAGATCCTAACAGTGACTGCCTATGCCCCACCAAAACATCCCTGGTGTCCTTCCCGCTGGGTCAGCAGTACCCAGCAAAAGCATCTATGTCAAAAACTAGGAGAAGGGGCAAGCACAGTTCTGCACTGTGTCTGGAAAACCTCATGAAATGGTCCATAGAGAGAATGTGCTATAATGTGATACCATTACATCCATCTCACTACTCTGAGCCATGAAACATCATAGGCCAGATTTCTCTGATACAGCCTAAAACATCAGCCTAGACACCAGTGCATTTCTGGGGTTGGATGTTCAGTGGGGACTGCAGACACATTCCAACAACAAAATTATTCTCTCTCCTATTATTTTCCACTGAGTTTTGAAACTAGATGTTCAGAATGGACTTTATTAAAAATGCCTTAGTAACAGAAACACATTAAAAACAAAGCATTATTAAAAAAAAAAAAACACAAAAAAAACCCAAAACAGGTTTAAAGTTACAAATATCCAATCCTTATAAGCAACCTTAAACTGAATTCTGCATAGGTGAGCAGTGTCAGCAGGCACTGACACAAACTGACACCAGCAGTTTTGCCATTCTGAGCACTTAGGGATGTGCAAAATGTACGGAGATGCTGATTCTTTATGTGTGTGTGTGTGTCTGTGTATTGCCTGGTACCCCCTGAAATTAGCTTCAAGACATGCCCAATCCCATGGAGAAAAGAAAAACAAGAGCTGGGTCTGCAGGTGAATGCAAGACTCTCTCTAACTCTGTGGCTTTTGCAGAACAACCTCGAAGTTTCAGACTTAGAGAAGTTAACTCTAACCTCCATTCTTCCTGGGTGAATGACATGTCCTCAAAAATAAACCTCAAGACACCAGGTCAAAATGACCACACTCTTTCCCCTAAGTTTACACAACCTGCCGCCAGTAAATGTGTACAGATTCCCTAGGGCTTCTGATTTCTAAAATCAGTTTGTGACTCACACAGACACTCACACCAGACACACGCTGAAAGGGAGCTGTGCAGAACACAGCAGTAAAAAAGGCGTCCAAAAATACTCAGACCTCGGTCTCGTATATATTTATGTAGAAGCTGCAATAAACAGACTTTCTTGTGTGCTTTGGTGTGCACAGTTCTCATGTGCCACCCATCAGGAGAGAGTTTTCTGGGTTTGTTTAAGGATATTTTAAGATGGAGGTATGTCAAATAACTGAAGCTGTGTTCTGTGTCTGCATAAGCCCCCTCAGATTTACAGGTGAGGGTATTTTCCCCTTCTAAAAAGCATTTAAAAACACCCTCTAGGAAACACCAGGCTTTCTCTGTTCAATGGGAAGCAGACACTGCCTTTTGCAGGACAGAGAGGTTACCCCAGTCATACCATATCCATACATTGTTGGTGAAACCAGAAGCAAGGTTAATATATTTATAACTCTGCCCATTTACCTGAGAGCTGCAAAGATGAGAAACACCTTTACATGTTTGCCCTTTGGTGGGAAGATCATTCAGCTCAAGAAACACATCTGAATTTTATGAGCTTTCCTGGATATGTACCTTGGACTGAAATCAGCTTTCACTCCCCAGCGTTATTTATAGCACAGTCACAGTAAATAGTGACTGCAAGTAGGATGGGAAAGGAAGGAAAACAACATCACTAAAATACACGGCTCTGCTAACTCCAGGAATGGGTTGGTGGCTCTCCTTTCCCTCCTACTGACAGAGCATCCTGGCTTGGCTCATGTCTTCTTCCACCACATTTTCCTGTTTCCCCTGAAAGCCTTTGTCAGTCTGTTAGCTACCAGTAACTACTTTTGGATGGTTTCTTCTCACATTTCTGTGCAATGGCCACCTGTCACAGCACAAATAAAAGCTTTCTAATTCCCCAGACCTGCCAACTAACATTTTTGAGGTTTATTGAGCTATGAGGGACAAGCTGTACCCACTTGCAAATGAGAGCAAAATGGGAAAGTTTTAGCTTGAGTTAGTTGCCTTCCCAGCATAAAGGAACCTCCTCTGGGTTCCCTTGTGACAACAGAGGTGTGAAACTACTCAGGAGAGAAGGAGGGAGACGTTTACATGGAAAGCCAAGGGAGAAATTCAAAGAGAACAGGAGACTCCTCCAGCTGCTGGACCAACCCCAGACTGAGGTCTGAGAAGTATCAGCCAGGTTGTGGCTCTCCACTGCTGGTGTCAAGCACAGTTCCTGGCACAGTCCATGCTCCAGTAACATGCCAGACCTGCCCAGGTGAGCAGGAGGAGAGCAAGGAGAGCTTTCTGCTGCCTCCTACAAGGGAGCACCGAGTGTGCATGACCGATGTTTGACATAACAGTGCAGGAACTTCTGGTGTACCGGGTCTCTGGCAACTGGATTAACAATCCTGCCTATGACCTCCTAAAAATCATTTGGAGAAGGATGCAACACTACATGCCCTTTTCCCTGCAGTGCCTCAGCAGTAACATTTAACCACTCTGCTCTCTTGCATGGACTTCTGTTCTTCCTCACAACAGTGTTCTTTCATTTGAAATAAAGACCATTAAGTTGGAGAATGTGTTTGCTCTTTGCTCACAGAAACAAACAAGGTACGTTAAAAAAAAAAGTCTATGGGCATGAGAAGGGAAAAGCAATTTACTGTGGGATACAGAGGCCAGGGCAGAAATCCTGTCTGGCTTCTCACAGTCCTGAATCCAGCTGAAATTCATGGGACACACTAAGTGGAGCAAGAGTAATAAAGAAACTTAGAAGCAACAGAAAGTATGGAAGATTTTCCTTGATGGAAGCAGAATAAGACCTGTACTATACCATTGCTGTGGTCAGTGTGAGGACATGAAGATAATTCCGTTACTACTTGTTTTCTCTAAAGACTTCAAGACAAGAAAGGAAAACTACACTTCCCATTTTTCACTGTAACTACAATAATAAAGATGACCTTGGCAATTTCTTTTTTTTTTTTTTTTTTTTTTTTTTTTTTTTTTTTTTTTTTTTTTTTTTTTCAAAAAACTCACCTACTCCCCACACCCTTGCACTCATGAAAGGCTTTGGTACATATATACATCCAAGATCAAAACCAAGTCACAGCTTTTATCTTCTCTTTCAGAATAGGAGAAATTTGGCTCTAAAATCCACCTCTGGATGCTCTTCACTGAGAGCTCTCATCATGGTATTCATACAGTGATACTCTAAACACCCTTTCAGAGGTTTATACCCTGTTTTCTAATGCTCTTATGTCATTGCCCAACCTGTTACTTCAGAGCACAATCCACTGGAATACAGCTGGCTGTCCGATTTTCAAAGCAAGATAATCATTATTTGCTGACTTAGTGTGCAGTCATATGGAAGTTCTCTTTTTCCTCCAGATTTCCTGTAAAATAATGGAGCTCCTACTCTGTCCAAAGGCCAAACTGGCTGCATCCATCTTAAAAATGTCACATAAGCCTTCCTATTCTGCCCTAAGTTCCCTCTAACCAGCATAAAGGATGTATTTGAAATCCCAAAGGCTCTTTTTGGAATACCTGTTCCATGTCTTTAATATACTTTTCCAATTTCAGTATTCTAATAATCACCAAAAACTTTAAAATTACTTATTTATACTTATGCTCCATATTTCTGAAAGAGCCAGTTATAAAACACCTACAGATGGAGGGGCTTGTTTAGGACACTGAGATAACTTCTAAAACTATCTACATGGTTGATATTTTCAACACCTAGCTGTTGTCAAGTCTGTCTTTTTTGGACTCTCTACAGCTGAAATATACACTAAACCTGATCTTAAATATCTTGTGTGTTTTTCCTACTCTTCTGACAAGAGTATCTGTAACTTCTGTCCAATTTACTGTTCCCTTATTTTTCATTAAAGCCAGTGTGAAAATAGCAGCATTAGAATGATCCAAATGGGGATTTGAAAGTGGTGTTATAACACAAAAAAATTCAGCCCTCATTCAGCACTCCTTGCAACAATATAAAAAAAAAAAGGAACTGTTATGCATTCAAAATGGATAATGAAACCTTGGGCCCCCCCAGCATTATAGAGTTGACATAGAGTCAGCTGATGGACCATATAAATTGTCTGTGTTGGCTTTTCCTATTAACGCATAAATCACAAGCCTTCACAGAGAATAAATCCAATAAATCCACAAAGAGACCCAGCTCAGTACTGAGTGACCTGGGTGACCCAAGCAGCCAAGTGCAATAACACGAAAGGTTTCCATTCACTCATACACAAACTCATCAGAATGAACATCATGGAATTCAGCCTTTAGAAAACCTGACTTCATAAATAAATCAATAAAATGAATTAAAGGGAATTAAATGAAGTGTGGGAAAGTTCAACAAAAGAAAGGTGAAATCTTTGCCCTACTGATACTAACATCAAAGGTTTTCATGAAAACATTATTTATATGCTGATGTGCTGGGAGTCATTCCCCAGTTATATCCATTTTATCTAGTGGGATTCCCAAGAACGAAATCCCTTTTAATGCAGTGGAGTGCCTGATTTTAGTGTCTTGCTTTGAGAGGTGTCCCATCCAAAAGCAAATCAAAGAATACAGACAAATGACATGGTTTACTTCAGGCTTCAGTTCCATGAGAGCATTGATTTGTTTTAAGTTAGTTCTGCGCTTATGTGCACTGTAATTTTGAAGCCATTTTTCTTACAAAAAGTACACGCTTTTCTTGTCTGAATTCCTGAACCATTTCTGAAGCTGCTTGCAAAGTAGATTTCCTGCTGAAATACTTTGACAGACATATAGCCAAGCTAAAACCAGGACATATACACTTTCCTAACCTGATTGTTTCCCATACAT